GGTTATGCCCTTCAACCCCTAGGGCCCCAAAACCCCCCTCACCACGTGTCTTCCCCCTTGGGCCCGGGCTTAGCCCTGGGTTTTCCCCCAAACCCCAAACCAAATCCCCTTGGGGGTGGGTACTCACCCCAACCCCCACAAAGGGTTTTGGGGTTTCAAAATCCCGGGGTTTTTGCCGCATTTTTTTAAGGACCAAATAGGGGGTCAAGAGCTTTGGTGTGTTTCGGGCAGTGGCGCCAAACCCTTGAAAACCCCCTGTGTGTGTCTGTCGCGATGTAAGCGCAATTCTACGATCCCTGTGCAGGGGACAGCAGCAAAACGACATAAAAAAATTCTACTCTCCCCTTCCATCTACCTCATTTACACCCAAATCGTTACAGCGAAATTAATAAATTTTTTTTTATAGAGAAAAGTGCGAGTGGGGGAACATTTTTTTTTTTGTTCCCGTGTTTTTTTAGTGACCCTTCAGTTTAAATCTTGATTAGACGCAGTTTTTTATATATATGATTTCCCAAAAATTTGATAATTTTCCCCTTAAAATTCCCGTGTTAATTTTTAAAAGAAATTTTCTTATGTTGTTGTGTTGTATTTCTTTTTTTTTCACTTTAGTATGTACCTGTGTTTTTTTGTTGTGGGTGAAATATGAGCGTATATGAAAATTGTGTTTAAAAAAACAACACCTTGTGTTCCCAAGTGACTAAATGGAGTAATTCCCGTAATTTATTTAGTTGGTCCGGGTTTAAAAACTCGGTTGTCTCAGTTTATATTTATTTTTTTTTAGCATTTTTTTTGTATTCTTGTTTTGTTCCCGTGTGTTTAACATTCTTGTGTTCATAAATTTTTTCATTTAGGGCCCGTTTTCTAATTTGTTTTTCCCCCCCCCCTTTTTTTTTTTCCACAGACAATTGTGCCATTTTTTGTGCAAGCAAGAAAAACATTTTTTTTTTAAAAATTTTCACTTTCCCAAATTTTATTTTCAAGAAAATTTTTTTTAGTATTGTGTTTTTGTTGATGTGTTGGGGTTCTGCTCAGTAAGTGTTTAAACTTTTTTGTTGTGTGGGTTTTTGCACCTATTTTTTTTTCATGTTTTTATTTAACAAATTTTACTTTAGTGCAATTTTTTTAAATTTTTTTTTTTAAAAAATAAATTTTTTCTTTTGCTTGTTAAATGTTGCTTTAGTGCAGTTAAAAGGTTTAAAAAGTTCCCTCAGTTCATTCCCTTTAAAAATTTTTTTTTTTGTGTGTGTAAAAATTTTTTTATTATTGCACATTGAATCATTTTTCAATAATTCTTTTGCAAATATTTTTGTTGCCATTAAAATTTTTTTGCAGAGATTTTTTTGCCGTGTTTGCAAACTTTTTTATTAGCAATTTCATTTTTCAATATTGCACCGGTTTTTAAAACAGTGCAGTTTTTATAGTCTGTTCTGTGCATAATATTTTTTTTTTTCCCTTTTTGTGCCCTTTTATTTTATTCCAAGGGGAATTGTGGGCCCTTTGGGGGTTTTTTTTTTGCAAAAAGCTTTATTGAGTCCCTTTTTTTTTTTATTGTGTGTTTCCCCATTGCCCCTGAAAGTAAGACAATCACTTTTGCCATTCATTCAAATTTAAAAATAAAAGTTGAGCAAAATCAGTTTGAGTAAAATAAAGTTTTTTTGATTTTTAAAGTGTTGTTCATTCAGTTGCGTAATTTTTTTTTGGTGGTTCTTTGCTTTTTCTGTGTGGGCCTTTTCATTTTTTAAATTTCTTTCATGGGGGTTAATCGTTAAACATTTTCTTCCCGTTTAAAATTACTGTGTCATTTCTTTCTATTTTTTTTTTTCCTTTTTGGGCCCCCCCCCCCAGTAAAAATTCCCCCAGAGATGTCCCCGTCACTTTTGAATGTTCACTTAGTGGATCCTGGCCAGTCAAAGTCCAAAAGGGAAATTTGTCCACAGACCCTTTTTCCCTTACTGACGAAAAAAACAAAACAGCCCCCCGGCAATGTGTTTGTTCTCACGCTTTTATTTTGAGATTTGTTAAAGTGCTGCGAAATGTGAAGTTCAGATTAAGTTCCTATAGATCCGTGAATTTGCTCATTAAGTAGCGGCGGTCGGGCCCTGTAAACTGTCATCCTGTCTGGACTCCGCCACTTTTATGCAGCGGATAGTGTGGTTTACTACCCTTGCAAATGGGATTGTAAAGTACTCTTTCCCTTTCCCCGGGGGACGTTTAGAAGAATTTATTTGCAACGAGTTATGCCACTCTTGCTGATGAAAACCGTTGCAGAAAGCGTTTCTGTGGCTAGGTGCTCCTTGAGTGTTGTTGTTGTCCCTTGTGTTTCGATTGTATCCCATCCTTTTGACAGTAATCAGTGCATTGTAAGAAGTTATTTCTCGAGAATTTTAAATGTTGTTAACGTTTGTAAGCGAAGTTTCTTTATAGCTGATCCCTGTGTCATGTGTGCGACTCGATTAATAAGCATTTTTGACCTGTTCATTATTTTCCCCTGTGCTTCCCTTTGAGATAGTAGATTCGTTCTCCCTGCTCATATGGTGTTTAGGTTATTTTTTTTAAGGGGGGAGTCATCCCCTCCACCCAGTTTGTGCGTTCTCCAGTAAGAAAGAACCGTCCCTTGTGTTTGGTGATTCGATTCTGCTCCCGGAGATCTTATTCTTATGTGAAGCCCCAGACCCATTAGTGCTTTGTAATGGCCAAGAATTTCTGTATCGAAAGCGGTTGGGTACTCCAAGCAGAGGGGGTGTACCCGTTGAATTCCCCAGTCACTTTAAAAGAAATTAGTCTACCTAGTTCATGATGCACCAGGTGTTGCACACCCTGGGATGGGTGTTTTGTGAAACAAGCCGAATGAAATACTTTTGGCCCGTTTTGGCAAATGACATTTCCGAGTATGTTAAGAAATGTAGTGTCTGTATGCAAAAAAGGGGAAGTCAATGGTCCTAATCCAATCCAGTAATTACAACCCTGATGATTTCGTAGCAACTCGTCCAGCATGGCTCAGAGTGTTTTTTTGAAGAATCCGTGAAACATCAAAATAAAAGCAGAATTTACTAGGAACTAATTTGCCGTGCTAAACCATCAAAAATAAAAGTAGGGTTTAAGAGTAATGTGACAAATTTCAAAAAACTTCCGCAATGCCCAAGCTCGATCAAAATTTGTGGACCTTTTCGAGTTGTAGAAACATTCTTGGGAAAAGTTTTTGGTTAGAGAAAATTTTATGGGAAGTACAAAGAACGCAAAATTTTGTCTATGAAAAAGTATGCAAAGTTGTGATATTGTACCCGATAAGTGAAGATGCTGAAAATCCTCTTTACTCTGACCTCTACCTCAAATACTCAGTCAGTAAACCAACCCGAATGTCGTTATCCTTGCGTACCGACAAGTAATGAAAAAACCCACAAGTATCTTTGTGACGCTCTTTTCAATCTCCCTCAGTAAAGGCATGGGCCATTGCGGGGAAATTTCGATCCTCCCAGAGATGATAACCTTTGCATATGTAAACCTCACCCCGCAGAAGGGGTTTAATGTAAATAGTTGTATAATAGATGCCCGAGATAAAGTAAATTGTCAACTGTTATTAATGATTATTTTTTTTTAAATTTTTTTTTTTTTTGTATTCAGTTCCCTCAGTATTCTGGAATTGACAGTAATGTCGAGTGCCCCAGTCCCTTTGCTTTTTAATTTCCCCTTGTAAAAATTATTTATTCTTCCTCAAAATCCGTTTTAGAGTGATGAATAAAGATCGATCGATCAATTCCATCCATATTGTAAAAGATTTGTTCTCATATTTGTAATGTTACGTTAAAAGTGATTCGTTAACCCCCATTACGTAAAATTCTTTTTGAAAAACATCCGTATGATACCACCCATTAGTTCAAGTTTTATGAATTTGTATTGTTTAGAATCACCCAAAACCCCGCCTGCCTGTTCCCTATAAGATGGTGTATGTCGAGACGACATACGAACATGCCCCGGCGCAGTTATTTGTTTCCTGTGTTGTATAGTTTTAGTATCACCATTGCTTTAGATGGAGTCCCTTTTAGGCCTGTGACTTTGTGTGACGTCCCCGGATGGATGTGTACTTTCGTACCTCTGCCTGGGCCTCAGTGGGGCGTTAGACATCCAGGCTAGGACAGGCAGGGTGGGCTCCATCTCCCTCATTCCGTCTGACAATATATATCGTTACCCTCCAACAAGTGTGTCTACCTTCAACCCTCGATATCTCCATTTAAGAACCCCTACGATACATTTACGTGTCCTGTAAAGGTTCTCTGTACATTTTCCAGGTCAGCAATTTTTCCGCCCTTAAAAAAGGCCCCCCGGTGTACAACGTATTTCCTCCTAGAAAGAACAATGATTTGAAAAGAATCTGATGGTTTGGGTTTAGTTTTTGAAGGTTCTCATTATCCATCCTATCATTTTTCTAGATGTAGTAGATACATTGTCATGATCTTTGAAAGTGAGATCTTCTGACATTATCACTCCCAGGTCCTTCACATTGTACTTGAATTTCTGTTATAAATTTTTTTTACAAATCAGTCATTGGGTAATACTTCTGGTATGATTAGGCTTGCTTTTTTATCACTGGGGTGCAATGTGCCATTTTTGATGTACGCACCATAGGTTGGCCATCCCTGGTCTAGAGGGTAAATCTAAGATTGTACTAAAATAAATCTATAAGAGAATCTTTGAGGATTCCTTAAAAATAAACACACTGCACTTACTGAGTTTCTGGAAGATTCACCCCTTCCCTAACTACAAGTTAATTTTTTTTACCTAAATAGCCATCTCTTGCCAAGGCAATATGACAAAAAGAAGAAAACACATTCAAAGAAACAGTTATGCATACAACAGATATACAAATTCTCAAACAGATTAGATACAGTAAATTATACAATATTTTAGTTAAATTTTAGCAATGTTAGGCTGGTCTTCTCTAAAATTGGCATAAATATATGCGTTTTAACCAGGAAGGAAATTTTTTAGGTAGTCCCACTTACTTCTTTCTTTGTAATATTGCTTCCACTTCCTTGGAATCTGTGGCACTTTCTTCACTGGAGCTTTCCTCATTAGTGCTTTCTTCACTGGTGCTGTCTATTCTCTCAACTGCAGAAATGTCACACACTAGTGAAGATGACACTGAATCACTCTCAGAATCTTCAGTATCACTTCCAACATCTACTGTATGCCTGTAGCTGCCAGTCATAACAACATCAAGATCTCCTGCCTCCTTACTCTCTCTCTCTCCTGTCCCAGCTCCACCATTAAATGTTTTTTCAGATATGACTGGCATGCTACACTGACCTTCAACTAGAGGCATGGGAAGCTGCAGACTGTGTGGTGGGACTGAACCTTCAAATGGAAGCTCAGAGCATACATTTGTAGCAACATTTTCTGCAGTCCCATTAGTCAACTCAGTTTCATTTTGACCAATGTCACAGCTAGTGTCCATGCTTTCGTCCACACTACACTCTTCATCTTCACTGTCAGATATTCCATAGCTTGTTAAAAGCTGCAGTGCATTTCTGCTAGTTGAAGCAGTTCCTTGCTGAAAAGGAAATTTACCATCATTATCATATTTTAAATTTTTATGGGCCATAAGGGCACTTACAAGGAAAGGAAGAAGCGCTATACTATCATTAATTTTTTACCATTTCAGCCATTTTGCACCCAAAGAAGGAAACCAATCACCCTGGAATTGTTCCTAAAGTGTTCAAGGAGAATTGGTGCTACAAATTTGCTAGATGTCATACATGAAGACAGAAATGTAGGGAGTGCAATATGTGATGCCCTGCAGATACCAATGCCTCCTAGTCTGACTGGAAGTGTAGTCTGGTTCCACTGTCTGCATTCTTGAGCGATGCTGAGTACTTTTGTGAATATCAACATCATGAGAATGTCATATTCATGCAGTTTAGGGTTTATTATTTTATTCACAAATAAAGCACTAAACCAGTGTGGGTCATTCAGTGTTAGAAACAAAGGGTCCATGCTGAGAAGAAAAGTACAAATTTAGAACATATAAAACACAGGAATTTAATCTAAGACTTTGTACAGTCCTTCTCACCTCCAGGGCTCAAGTCCAGCTAACTATTATTATTTTCTTTTTTTTAACACACTGGCCGTATCCCACTGAGGCAGGGTGGCCCAAAAGGAAAAACGAAAGTTTCTCCTTTTACATTTAGTAATATATACAGGAGAAGGGGTTACTAGCCCCTTGCTCCCGGCATTTTAGTCGCCTCTTACAACACGCATGGCTTATGGAGGAAGAATTCTGTTCCACTTCCCCATGGAGATTACAGTGGACCCCCGCATAGCGAACGCCTTGCATAGCGAACATTCCGCATAGCGAACGCTTTGATCGCTAAAATTTTGCCCCGCATAGTAGACAAAAACCCGCTCAGCGAACTTCGTCCGAGACGCGTCCAATGTGGGCCCTCAGCCAGCCTCACATGTGCCGCCCGTCCCATTGTTTACCAGCTAGCCTCCGCGGTAACATTCAAGCATACACTCGGAATATTTCGTATTATTACAGTGTTTTCGGTTTGTTTGTTGAAATAAGTGACCAGGGGCCCCAAGAAAGCTTCTAGTCCCAAACCCCTTTGTGGTAAAAAGGGTGAGAATTAGTATGGAAATTAAGAAAGATTTTGGGGGGTTTTGGGCCTAACCCTGAGAAGCCTATGCCAGTTGTGGAATCCATTGTGCTACTTCAAAAAATTAAGGAAATGTGTGCACAGTGGGTTGAACTGCAAACCTTTATGGATGAAAATCCCCCTGACACAGCTGTTGCAAGGCGTGCTGGTGACTATTTCAATGACAATGTTATGGCCATTTTAGACAAATCGTAAAGGAACGGGAGGTACAGAGCTCTATGGACAGAAAGAAGTCCAGTGACTCTGAAGCTGGTCCTAGTGGCATTAAAAGAAGAAGGGAATAACCCCGGAAAAGGACTTGCCTCCTCAAGTGTTAAGGGAAGGGGATTCCCCTCTAAACACTAACACTCCTTCCCCTCCTCCCATCCCATCAATCTCACCAGATTTCAATAAAAGTAAGTGTCATGTAATTGTGCATGCCTTTTTCAGTTTGTGTGTACTAAAATTAACATTTTTTTTGGTTAAAAAATTTTTTTTTTCATACTTTTGGGTGTCTTGCACGGATTAAATTTTTTTTCCCCTTATTTTCTTATGGGGGAAAAAATTAATTCGCATTTGCGAAACATTTCGCATAACGACCAGCCCTCTTGCACGGATTAAGTTCGCTATGCGGGGGGTCCCCGGTATTCTTCTTTTTTCTTTCAACGTACCAGCCGTATCCCACTGAGGTGGGGTGGCCCAAAAGAAAAATTGAAGTTTTCCTTTTAAATTTAGTAATATATACAGGAAAAAGGGTTACTAGCCCCTTGCTCCGGCATTTTAGTCGCCTCTTACGACACGCATGGCTACAGAGGAAGAAATTTTTGTTCCACTTCCCCATGGAGATAAGAGGAAATAAACAAGAACAAGAAAATTTGAAAGAAAATAGAAGAAAACCCAGAGGGGTGTGTATATATATGCTTGTACATGTATGTTTAGTGTGACCTAAGTGTAAGTAGAAGTAGCAAGACTTACCTGTAAACTTGCATATTTATGAGACAGACAAAAGACACCAGCAATCCTACCATCATGTAAAACAATTACAGGCTTTCATTTTACACTCACTTGGCAGGACGGTAGTACCTCCCTGGCCGTCCTGCCAAGTGAGTGTAAAACGAAAGCCTGTAATTGTTTTACATGATGGTAGGATTGCTGGTGTCCTTTTTTCTGTCTCATAAACATGCAAGATTTCAGGTACATCTTGCTACTTCTACTTACACTTAGATCACACTACACATACATGTACAAGCATATATATACACACCCCTCTGGGTTTCCTTCAATTTTCTTACTAGTTCTTGTTCTTGTTTATTTCTTGTTACCTCCATGGGGAAGTGGAACAGAATTCTTCCTCCGCAAGCCATGCGTGTTGTAAGAGGCGACTAAAATGCCGGGAGCAAGGGGCTAGCAACCCCTTCTCCAGTATAAATTACTAAATTTAAAAAGAGAAACGTTCATTTTTCTTTTTGAGCCACCCTGCCTTGGTGGGATACAGCCAGTCTGTTGAAAGAAAGATTATTATTTATTATTATTAATTACATTCATGGAGAGGGTACTAAACCTGTAAGAATTATACAGTGCCTAAGCTAGTGGGAGGCAATCAGGTTTAATCCAGAGAAGGGAAGGTCTGGTTCAATTCCTTGGATCAAAGCCCCTCACTGGCATCAAAGTACCTACTTTAAAGGAAACGAATGTCAGTATAAACCAGTTTGGAGTGATATTTAAGATGATTACGTTTAGATATGAAGAGTTGCTCCACTTGGGTGACTGCATAAGAAATTTATACTGCACTTATTTACTGGTAAAAAATGGAGGTGACAAGTGAATCTGCATAAATGAAGGAAATCTGTACTTGACAGCCTCTTCTACTGAAATATAGTAAAAGTAAAAGGTTTCATTTTATTATACATTTTGTTGTTTTCCAACATGTGTCAGTTCACAGCCATATTCCTAACATTTTTTGTATGTAGTTTTCTTTACCTCATCAACCACATAGCACCAAGGTGGCCAGTGGTTGGCCCTGAAAACAAAATTTGCAGCCTGGAGAAGTTAATGTCATGTTCAGCTGTAAATATGTACCTGAGGGTTGTCTTGAATATAAATGCCATGTCTATTGATTGTTATTCCACCATTATCACTAGTTAAAGATCATATCATTGTTTATACCCTTCTCCTCATCCTATTTAAAGAATGCCTTTGGATTATGTTTGGTCTTCTATTCAATTCATCTTTCAAATTCTCATTAAGTATTTCTCTTCAAACACTATAAAACTGAAGAACACTGAACCAACCTAAATATGGAATTCTTTTGTAATTGACCAACTGTCATTTGCACCCTCTTGTATTTTACTTATGTTTGAAGTCTTATACAATATATTATGTCTAGTTTTTAAGCAGCATGTAAGCCTTATAATTAGTTGCCCAAAATGCACTGTATAATTAGTGGCTTTTTTTTGTGACTACCTTTGATTCTTTGCCTTAGTCATGTATAACTACTAAATTCTTTGTATGGCACATAGAAATAAATATTATTATTATTATTATTATTATTTGTCTGTTGCCTTCTCTCTGTTAACTTCACGTAGTCAGTATGATCTTCAAGGTCAGTTGTCAGAATAACACCAAGGTCTGGTGACCCAAAGAATGAAATATTCACCAACATGACTCATGAAATTGTAATGACATGATTGCAAACAAACCATACCACAGGCGGGGATAGAACCCATGATCAGAGAATCATAAAATTCCAGACCAGCGCATTAGCCACAGCTTTTAGGAAACTTGAGCTAGAGTTCACCATGGCCATGCTGGCAGGAGATTCATCTGTAAAAACTTGCATTTGTGGTCACAGTGGTGCCTATGCTAACCTTCCTATGGTGTATAAATATACCTAGTTAGATGAATTCTATTGTAGCCAGCTGGCCCAGTGGCTAAAGCATCGGTCAGGAGTGTTATGACTCTCTGATCGCAGGTTCTATTCCCGCCCATGGTATGGTTTATTCACCATCACTCATTTAATAATGGTCTTGCCAGAGGTGGCATGGACATCTCAATTTCAATGATCCTTTGAACCACAACATTCTTGTAGTACAGTGTAGGGTTATTTATTCAACCCATCCTCCTGTGCAAATGTTGGTACAGTACTGTATTTTATTATAATTCAAGACTTGAAAAAGAAACAGACACATCATGTTTTCTCCAATTTTTCAGTGGTTTCCCGTTTTTCTGTTCATGCTTCAGAATATGCATGGACTACATGGTGTGCATGAAAAAGGCAGACAGCAGAGGGCATGGCAGTCCACACTAAGGCCAAGTATCAAGAAGAGCTATCTACTTTTACCTAGATTAGGGACTATCATGTATTATTTAGGTGAGCAAGTCAAAGATAGAAAAGCAGGAGGCTCTCTCCCCACACTACATTCCCTCTGGCCACACCAGGCATGAAAACTAGAAAAATATACCATACCACATTAGAAAAATGTCATGAAATTTACAGGCAAAATTGAACTGGGTGCAAGATGTGGCCACAACTACCTCTACTAAATATATAGGGCAAGACATAAGAGGAAACTACAATACTTTCTTTTGGGTTATCTATTCTGCCATATGTGATGAAATCCACACAATGTACTTTAGCAGAGCGATTTAGCAGAACGAAAGAAAAACTTAAGTCAGTAAACTTATGTACATCCCAAATCACATAAAGCTAATTACAATACCTCTTTGGAAGTTTGAGGAGTATTATGATACTCCATGGGGTCATCTTGTTCCACTGAAGTACAACTAGTCTGGGGGGCTTGGTGACTGCTAGAAGGAAATGGTGATGTGTGTGCAGCAGACGTGAGAAGCAGTGGCATCACTGAGGCTTCATCTATGTAAGTTGGCACTGTATGAGATGCTTCTTTCATTTTTATTACTGTGTTTGTTGATAGTGGTGCTGTATATATTGTTAGTTCTTTGGCATTAGTTATTTGTGGTGTGTGTGTTGCTGCTTGTGTTGCTGATGCTGCTTCTCCAGTCAATGGCACAGTTACTGGTGTCATCTCTCCAGCTGTTGGTATAGTTACTGAAGCTGCCTCTCTAGATGATGATATAGTTACTGGTATTCTCTCACCAGCAGTCAGCATAGTTACTGGGTCTCTGTCTCCAGGTGTTGGAATAGTTACTGGTGCCACTTCTTTAGCTGATGGTATGGTTACTGTTACTGTCTCTTCAGATATTAGCATTACTGGTGCTGTACCTGCAACTGCTGTATCTCTCTTTGTCTGGGATGCTTCTGAATCAACAGTGACTGTGAGTGTATTACTGATGGTAGTAGTTGTATTACTAATAGTAGTAGTTGTATTACTGATGGTAGTAACTGTATTTATGGTGGTTAAATCTATATCAGTGTCAGCTTGGACTTTATCTACAATAGCTGTAGTCACATCCATCATGCCTGTGACTGTACAAAGAGTAGTGTTTCTATCTACAGATTGTTCTGTGTTGGTTAAGGCTGCATTTGTTTCAGCTGTATCTGTGGTGCTGGAGGATGACAGCAAGTTAGTGGTGATTGTGTTGGCGAAGCCCAGTGCCTGGGAAGAATGGACTGTAGAAGGAATGCCTAGAATTTTATCTGTGGAAACAGAGGCAACATTGGTAGTGGTGGTGGGTATGTCTGCAGGAGGGGGATCAGTAGACTGGAAGCTTTTGGTGCTAGGATGTTCTGAGCCAGCAGAGCTCACTGGTGTTTCATCTTCTTTCATAGCATTCATCTCTTTACACACTCACAGGATTCTGTAATGGATAAAACAAAAAACATAAATTACTGTCATCTATATGCTAACTTTATTTTCTCCTACTGTATATAAAAATACTAAATAATGATACAGCACATAAAAAGATAGTGTAATACTGTTTTAAAGAGAGCAGATGTTTTATTAATACATACACTCAATCAGCATTTTTCTGTAGTTGTACTTCCTTAACTCCTGATTTTTCTGATCCAAATATTATGTTTAACTGAAGGTCTGGTTAAGGAAGAAGCTGCCATAGTTAAATGTAAACATGTAAAGGTTTTGCAAGCTTTATATTACAGATACATTGTTGGCCTTTGGTGCATAAAGTGAACTCAATATACACTAATATGTAAAGCAAGGGTTTCTTCTGAGACTTATAATTTCCACATTTTTTAAATAATGTTTATAAAAAAATTAATCTGCTCAAAAAACTGAGAAAAATGAAATTTAAAATTCAATCATAATCCCTATAAACACAAAATTAAGGAAAACTCCACATTTCTTCATTTATTTTATAAAAAGTTATGACTACCACATAGGCAGAAAATGGCCACAATCAAAAAACAAATGAGAAAAAATTAAATCCAAATTTCAACTGTAATCATCTTCCTCCTCATTCCAACCAACCAGTCTGTCTTTGTCTGGACTGAAGTGCAGTGCATATACAGTATTATGAGCCTTTATCATGAGCCATCTTTCTGTCCCTAGTCCTAAATGTGTCAGTGCAACCCACCTCTCTTTTTGTAATAATTCAAAAAATGCATAATTAAAATTTACCACTCACTGATTTATGCCTAGTCTTAAGTAGTCCGTAATCTTTAGGATTAGTGTGCCCAAAATGCTCTGGCACGTTAGTGGCCTTCTTTGTGCCTAACATTATCTTACAGTATGCAAATCTCACACTGTATACTATGCAAAGGAATAAATTTGTATTTGTATTATTTATATCTGTATTTAATGGAAACACAGTGGGATCCTGGTTTTCGTCTTTAATCCATTTCAGAAGGTCTGCCAAAAACCGATTTGTACAAAAACTGAAGTAATATTTCACAGAAGAAATAATGTAAATCCAATTAATCCATTCCAGACGCCCCAAAATATTAACAAAAAATACATTTTATAGAGAATAACTCTAGTTTTACATACAGAAAACAATGAGAAATAAATCTAAAGCACTAATGAAATAGATAAATGAACATTTAATATCATTGTATCTTTACTGAAGACTCTTGTTGGCATATGGAAGATGACGAGGAGGGGAGAAGGAGAGGGTTATTGTTTGGAAGGGGAATCCCCTTCCATAAGGACTTCAGTTATCAAGTACTGCACTTTGTCTGATTTTTTAGGGTTATGCTAAGTACTTTACACATATGTTACTATGCAAAAATCACAAACAAACAAGATACAAAACAACCACAGAGGGAACTGAATGATAGTTCTAGCCTTTTGTGATGCAATCAACACAGCCAAGTCCAAGCAGATTCATTCAGGGGGAACGAACGCTTGGACTTCCTGCTCATTTTTGTAACATTGCAACCTCCTGATGATGTGTTGATTGCAACACAAAAGGCCTAGAGCTATCATTCAATTTCCCCTGTGGTTGTTTTGCATATGTTACAATGTATGATAATTGTAGTCACCTAGATTTGTGTAACTACTTATGTGTACCTGTACCTAAACAACCTACTTATTTAATACTAACCAAAAGATTTACTTTAAAAACATGATCAATGGATTTTACAGTGCCATTATTTCTTATGAAAGTCAATATTAACCAGTTTAGTGATATTATTTAAAGAGAACAAAATCTCAAGCAGTGAGGAGTTTTGGTTATCACAAAAGAACAAATTTATACCACATACAATATGACAAATAACGTAGATATAGAGTATGGTTTCTGAATCTGAAAAACTAATTATAATTTATAATTATTACGGTATTATTATTATCTTAATATAATTATATCCCACAGGTATCACACAATGCCAAGGGAATGGTTGAAAATTTGGTTTGATCCATGGAAGGAGGGGGTCGGCTCCAATTCCTTGGATCAAGAGCCCCTCGCCAGCATCACGGAGCCTCCCTTGAGGGTTTCTAAAATTCTAATACAACAAATAAAACTTGAAATTCCAGACATAAAACAATAGTTTTTACATATACATCACAATGCTGGTGCTGACTCCTGCTGCTATATTAAGTGTGATCTTCAGATAAGTAATTAATATATTACTAGGCTGCCTAGATTGACTTACTGTGCTAGTCTGACATCAATTTGCTGGTAGGCAGCTCAGATTTACTCACCGCGTTGATGAGAAACAATTTACACGTGTTGTTGTTGTTGTAGACTTGAAGGGTTGTTACAGCTTCTTCTTCTGTTGGGTTTCAGGGCCACTGACAGCATACGCTGTATCGAGCCCGGCCGTCCAGTGCTGGGAGAAGGAATATCGACCAAAGTGGAAGAATGTCTTGACTAATAACGATGTATCATATGTCTCTGATACGCCCTGAAGCCAGCAGGAAGGAGCAGGTACAAACCAATATCTCCTGATGGTCCAGAGGGCGAAACCCCTCCCCATTGAGGAGGACAGGTAGAGTGAAAGTGTGCACTCCAAGTGTGTGCAAGGCCGCACGGAGAGTAGTCCGTGCAGAGTGATAACGTGGGCACCACAGCAGGAAGTGTTCCACCGTCTCAGGCTGTGAGGGGCACCATGGCATTTACGGAGAGTCCGTCATCCGAAGGCGATATAGATGAACCGCCTGTCGCGAGTGCCCAACTCGAAGGCGAGTCAGTGCAACGTCCACCGAGCGGTTGGGATGGCGAGCCCAAGGGCAGGGGCCATTAAAAGTTCGGACAGAGCCCAACGCCGAAGAAAAAGAGGGAGTTTTGCAAGGCCCTCTTGCCAATGATGACGAATTCCTTCCAAACAGCCCTTGTGGAATCACTGTGGCCCAGGGCAAGGGGGTAACAGTAGGAAGTGTGTGCGCGGGGGGAGGCCGCCCGATCTGCCACTTCATTACCCAGATTCCAACCCTGGGTGGGAACCCACTGAAGGGAGATGCTCCAACCTGGGCTCCGCAAGAAGCGCAGGAGGAGAGATTGTGTCCGACGAACGAGGACGCGCAGTGATCGTGGACGGGCAGAGCACAAAAGTGCCAGGGAAGATTGGGAATCAGAGAAGAGGACCAGTGGTTGTGGGGGAAAGTGATCTAGGACAAAAGCCAGGCCTGGTGAATGGCGAAGAGCTCCCCTGCCAGAACAGAATGAGCAGGGTCCAACCGCCACGTTTGACACAGGGAGATATTAGCAAAGTTAGTTTTTAGTTTAATATGTTTATTATGCACCCCATGCCCATCCTGTGGGCGGTAGTCAAAAGATTACAGAGGTACATAATTGGCCCAGGGACTGGACTCCAAAGTTTTGATAGCTGAGCAAGTTACAGAGGTAATGAACTCACAATTTACAAAGGTAATGGACTCACAATTTACAAAGGTAATGAACTCACAATTTACAAAGGTAATGAACTCACAATTTAAAAAGGAAAATGACTCACAATTTACAAAAGGTAATGAAACTCACAATTTACAAAGGTAATGAACTCCAGGTAAGTCTGGTCACAATCATGAAAAAGTTACAAAGGTTTTTACAGATTACAGAGGTACGTAATGGGTCCGGGACTGGGCCCCAATGTTTTGATAGATGAACTGGGTTTACAAAGGCAATGAGCTCACGTTAAAAAGGTAATGGAATTCTGTAAAATGGTTACTTACTTTATACTTTGGCTACAATCATGAACCAAATTATAGAGTATGAGCAATTCACACTTCCACACCCGGTCACAACTGTAATGAGTTATTGGTGCAAATATTGATTGAGTCACACAACACACCACACACACACACACACACACACACCACACACACACACACACACACACACACACACACACACACACACACACACACACACACACACACAACCTGGAGCCACATGGGGGTCCCGAAACATGGAGAGCAAAGATGATGGATTGTGGTACTTGAAAACCTCATGCATCAACATGGTCAGGGACACAACCAGAGGAGAGAGGGGAGGATGAGCCAGCAAGACTGGATCTTGTGTTTCACCCTGAGCAGTTCAGACTCGAGGACATCACTTACGAGAGGCCCCTTGGAGCTAGCGATCATGTGGTTCTGAGTTTTGACTATATAGTAGAGTTACAAGTGGAGAAGGTAACAGGAACTGAAGGGGACAGGCCAAACTATAAAAGGGGGGACTACACAGGTATGAGAAACTTCCTGCAGGAGGTTCAGTGGGACAGAGAAATGGTAGGAAAATCAGTAAACGAGATGATGGAATATGTGGCAACAAAGTGCAAGGAGGCAGAGGAAAGTTTTGTTCCCAAGGGAAACAGAAATAATAGGAAGACCAAGACGAGTCCTTGGTTTTACCCGAAGGTGTAGGGAGGCAAAAGCTAAGTGCAACAGAGAATGGAAAAGGTACAGGAGGCATAGGACCCAGGAAAACAAGGAGATTAGTAGAAGAGCCAGAAACGAGTATGCGCAGATAAGGAGGGAGGCCCAGAGACAGTATGAAAACGACATAGCATCGAAAGTCAAATCTGACCCGAAACTGCTGTATAGCCACATTAGGAAGAAGACAACAGTCAAGGACCAGGTGATAAGGCTGAGGAAAGAAGGTGGGGAACTCACAAGAAACGATCAAGAGGTATGTGAGGAGCTCAACACGAGATTTAAGGAAGTATTTACAGTAGAGACAGGAAGGACTCTGGGGGGACAGACCAGATGGGGACACCAACAAGGAATACACCAACAAGTGTTGGACGACATACATACAGATGAGGAGGAGGTGAAGAAAACTGCTAAGGGACATCGATACCTCAAAGGCAATGGGACCGGACAACATCTCTCCATGGGTCCTTAGAGAGGGAGCAGATATGTTGTGCGTACCACTTACCACAATCTTCAACACATCCCTGGAAACTGGGCAACTACCTGAGGTATGGAAGACAGCAAATGTAGTTCCCATTTTCAAAAAAGGAGACAGAAAAGAGGCACTAAACTATAGACCTGTGTCATTGACGTGTATAGTATGCAAAATTATGGAGAAGATTATCAGGAGGAGAGTGGTGGAGCACCTGGAACGGAACAGGAGTATAAATGCCAACCAGCACGGATTCACGGAAGGCAAATCCTGTGTCACAAACCTTCTGGAGTTTTATGATAAAATAACAGAAGTAAGACAAGAGAGAGAGGGGTGGGTTGATTGCATCTTCTTGGACTGCAAGAAGGCCTTTGACACAGTTCCTCACAAGAGATTAGTGCAGAAGCTAGAGCATCAGGCGCATATAACAGGAAGGGCACTGCAATGGATCAGAGAATACCTGACAGGGAGGCAACAACGAGTCATGGTACGTAATGATGTATCACAGTGGCACCTGTGACGAGCGGGGTCCCACAGGGGTCGGTCCTAGGACCAGTGCTATTTTTGGTATATGTGAACGACATGACGGAAGGGTTAGACTCAGAAGTGTCCTGTTTGCAGATGATGTTGAAGTTAATGAGGAGAATTAAATCTGATGAGGACCAGGCAGGACTTCAAAGAGACCTGGACAGACTGGACACCTGGTCCAGCAAATGGCTTCTCGAATTTAATCCTGCCAATGCAAAGTCATGAAGATAGGGGAAGGGCACAGAAGACCACAGACAGAGTATAGGCTAGGTGGCCAAAGACTGCAAACCTCACTCAAGGAGAAAGATCTTGGGGTGAGTATAACACCGAGCATGTCTCCGGAAGCACACATCAATCAGATAACTGCTGCAGCATATGGGCGCCTGGCAAACCTGAGAACAGCATTCCGACACTTAGTAAGGAATCATTCAAGACACTGTACACCGTGTATGTTCAGGCCCATACTGGAGTATGCAGCACCTGTTTGGAACCCGCACTTGATAAAGCACGTCAAGAAACTAGAGAAAGTACAAGGTTTGCAACAAGGTTAGTTCCAGAGCTAAGGGGAATGTCCTATGAAGAAAGATTAAGGGAAATGGGCCCCTGACGACACTGGAGGACAGGAGGGTCAGGGGAGACATGATAACGACATATAAAATACTGCGTGGAATAGACAAGGTGGACAAGGACAGGATGTTCCAGGGAGGGGACACGAAACAAGAGGCCACAATTGGAAGTTGAAGACACAAATGAGTCAGAGAGATAGTAGGAAGTATTTCTTCAGTCATAGAGTTGTAAGGCAGTGGAATAGCCTAGAAAAATGACGTAGTGGAGGCAGGAACCATACACAGTTTTAAGACGAGGTTTGATAAAGCTCATGGAGCGGGGAGAGAGAGGGTCTAGTAGCAACCGGTGAAGAGGCGGGGCCAGGAGCTAGGACTCGACCCCTGCAACCACAAATAGGTGAGTACACACACACACACACACACACCACACACACACACACACACACACACACACACACACACGCACGCAACCACAAATAGGTGAGTACACAGACACACACACACAGACAGACACACACACACCACACACACACACACACACACACACACACACACCACACACACACACACACACACACACCACACACACACACACACACACCACACACACACTCACACACACACATTTAGTTTAATATCTTTATTATGCACCCCATACCCATCCTGTGGGCGGTAGTCAAAAGATTACAAAGGTACATAATGGGTCCAGTGACTGGACCCAAAGTTATGATAGCTGAACTAGTTACAAAGGTAATGAACTCCAGGTAGATCTGGTCACAATCATGGCAAGTTACAGAGGTAATGAATCAGCTCCACTCCTATACATGGTTACAGTCATGAACAATTACAAAGTAATGAACCACTGATACGTCCCACACCTGGTCACAGTTGTAATGAGTTATAAATACAAATATTAAGTGGTTCATACACCCACACTAGCGCGCGCGCACACACATATCACACACCAGGGCCAGGAGCTAAGACTCGACCCCTGCAACCACAAATAGGTGAGTACCAGGGCGCACGCACGGACATGTGCACATGAGCGTACAAATATATGCATACACACAAGGACGCACACACACACACACACACACACACACACACACACACACACACACACACACACACACACACACACAACACACACGCCACGCACACGCACACACGCCACAACACACACACACATGGTAATGCATTATTTACAGCTAGCAAAGTCAGGAAGAAATTTGCAAATGTCTCAGCCTTATCCTTGGGTAAGAGTGGAGTCGCTCCTTCCCCCAGCAGGGAAAAAAGTACTTACAGAACGTGATCCCAACATGGAGTGGAAGAAACCCCATGCCTGACTGGCAGAGGTACGAAAAGAAAGAGAAGAACAGAATAAAGTCCAGGATGCACGTTTTGCTTGGAGGAGGG